AAGATTCCTCTGAACCCAACTTTTCTTCGCATGTTGTCCTAGCGACAGAGTATCGACAGCCGAATTTGCCCCACAATGCCATTGAAGCCCGCCTTGTCTCCCAAAAGGAAGCGAATGAACTGCACTCTTGAACTCGTCAGCACTGGCCTCATCAGCAACCACAACGAGAATCCAACCAAGTGACGCCCATGCCAGTTTGGCAGTGGAGGAAGTAAAGGCTGTACTACTCATAAGGCGCATCATCGTAATTTAGGATCCACGTGTGGTATCGAAGCCCGTAGAAGTGTATCTGAGCATTGGTATTTGGCTATCGTCAGATGTCGAAGACAAGAAGCCTTGTATTGAAGATGAAAAGTAGGCCGCCCCAGACACAAAAGTAATGGCTGCATCGCAGCATAAATAAGCTAAACTTGAACAGAATCTCACAATAAATCATCTGCGATCTCCGATCCCTTTCACCCCACCTCCGGATGGTCGTCGGGGCGAAAGAAAAGCAAACTCAGCTGCCATTTGCTGTTGCCGACGGCAATGCTGAGTTGTGACAACTGCCAACTGACTTCTCTTTAGGCATTAGTGATGCTGAACCACCAACTACACACACTCGACTCTCTACACGAGGTCAAGTGCCGAAAGAGCCTTCTTCATCCGACACAAATTTCCATTTCATGCCATCAAACTCAAAGTTGATGGTGCCTGAGGATTATTGTCCGGCGTGCAAGTCATGCAAACCATTCCCAGCAAAGGTTACAGAAGGAGACTTGCAAATCCCAACCAAATCAAGCGTGTGAACAAGGCCCAAGTGAGCATCAGGGCATCGAATGTGTCCTTCAGCAACAGTTCCTCGTGGACAAAAGGTATATTGAATGCATAATATTGCCAAGTTAAACGACAATGACCTTCTGTCTTGAAACTCGCCAATATAGTTCTCCGAGGCCACAGGCTCTAGGCTCGAGTCCCGTCGAGGATGATGCTTTGAAACAAATAAGCAGGGAGCCGTGGTACAGTCTGACCTGGGGTCAAATGGCAGAAGCAAAGCAAAACTTCTTTTTCGTTTTTATAAGTAGGTTCATGTAGTACGTGTATTCAGCCTGTATCGTTTAAGGTGACAAGGAAACTAAGAGTTTAATTGTTCCCACAATGGCATGGGTAGAACTTATATTTTCACCCAATTTCATATAACCTTGCTGGCCCAAAAGGTATTCTCATCCAGGAAGGATAATGTGATATTAAAAGCCGTCTGGCCTTTGTTGAAATTCACATCTTTCCTGTGACCAAAGGGCACTCGTGATAGTGTGTGGTGTAGTGGTTGACGCGATGATGCTTCGAGTCCCGCTGGAGGTGCTGATGAGACCGGTTCAGGCGAGTTCGAAATTGCAGTTCCTTCCCGCCTGAATGAGAATACTTGTTGAGAAACAAAACTATGTTGAATTTAATGAAACGTCAGATCTACTCATAGCGTTATGGGAAAATTAAACTACAAGTCTCTTTATCACCTTAAACGAAATAAGGTGAATACACGTTATAAAAAACCTTCTCTCCACTTCGTCGTGGACGTATAAATGGTCAATTTCTCAAATATCACTCAACCAACGGTGCCCCTTAATTATTCAAAGTATCTTTCCTGGTACCGGCATTGGATAAACGGCCAGAAGTAACTCTCCAAACAGAGTGAAAGAGTGCAGAATCCAGTCTTTTCTGACGGACTGGGCTGGAATTTGCGACAAGCTAAACAGTCTTGGCTGACACAAAAGGCACAGTTGACTATAGCAACTCACACAGTCGTTGACAAGACGTTGGAGTATTATATGCGAAGAAATATTGGGTTTCGAGGAATCTCTTGTCTCATAATTGTTGAACTCAATTCCATTTCGAGTGGAAGCGTTGGGTGAAGAGATTCGAAGGTCGGTTCTACCAGAAGACGACGGCAGATTCCTCTCGACCAGCTGTAGATTGGCTTGACTGGAACATTCATGCTGACGCTGTTTCCGAGGCAATCCGCTTCGATTCCGGTGAGAAGGTGCTAAGCTTTCGTCCGACAAATGATGAACATCATCAGAGCGAGGTAACATCGTTACAACCAAATTCAAGCTAACGAGTCAAGGAAACTCATCTACACAACCCTAAAAAGCTATACATATATTTTCTGTCTCACCTCTTTGATGAGGTATAAAGTGATTTGACAACCTCGAAGTATGTAAATGTATCTGTGTCTTTATGTATATGTTCCTGTTTGTGTTCACCTGACTCGTTAGCTTGAATTTTGTTGTGACAATGATACCTCGCTCTGATGATGTCCGTCAAATGACGGACAAAAGGTCAGCACCTTTTCACCGGAATCGAACGAGATTACCTCAGAAACAACATCATCATGAATGTTCCAGTAAAACCACCCGACAGTTGGTCAAGAGGAATCGGCCGTCGTCTTCGGGTGAAACCGACCTTTGAATCTCTTTACGCAACCCTTTCACTCGAAATGGAAGTGAGCTCAACAGTCGGAGTATTAGCCCAGACATAAGCTTAAAGAGGAGCTAACAAGACGATTTGGATACAGGCAAGACACGAACGCCGAAAATGACCAGAGATGATAATGTGCTGAAGCCGAACAATCTGCAAAACTTCATCTCACAATAAAAGTATGCAGTTGGTAACTTTCTGCTTCGGACAACGAGGTTTCAGCTGTCCACGACGCATGGAAAGACGGGTGGAGCCTCTACATGTCTCCCACAGGGTTTGTCCTCTCCAGAACCAAACGCCATTTTGCTGTCCTCCAAACCTCGCCAGCTGCTCCGGCGGGTCTCGAGCCGGCCACTGCAAAATGCTACAGCCAATGCCGGCGTGACATTCGAGTTAGAGCCCACGGCAATACAGCAAGTCGGGCTCAAATATGGCTTCAGAAGGCTCGGTCTGTAGGAGCCGAGCTCGAAGACAGCAGCTCCAGAGATGAGCCAGGAGTCGTGATCCTGAAGTCGTCCAACGTCGGTGAGATGAACGCGGAAGCCTGAGGCCACAGCGAACATACCAACTTGGTAGATACGAAGATTAATTCGGTTTCGAGGAAGCTCATGAGATAGCATTGTTGAGAAGGCCTAATTTGACGATGAAAGTGTATGAAGAGATTCGAAGCAATCCCGCTGGACTGAAGCCATCGTCTTCTGGTGAGATCAACCTACGACTCTCTTCTGCGTGTATTTCCACACGAAATGAAGATCTCTCCAAATGACCCTTTTCCTGAGCATTGCTGAGCTGACGTAAATGCTGACTGTGAGTGAATGTGACGACCTGGTTGGTAGATTTCCCTTGGTCTGCTGTTGTCCGGTTGGCCTGACAACTTCATGCTGATGCAGTCCTCGAATTCTACAATTACCACTACTACTGCTACTACTACTACTACTATTACTAATAATAATAATAATAATAATAATATATCGCAAGGACAAGCCTCGACAGCAAATTGCAACCAATTATTCAGTCGTAGATGACGCATTAATGAAATGGACTTTGGCTCATTCAGACGAGGAGCAAGTTGTCGTCTGCGCGGGCAGAAGCGAAGCAACCTTGAAAGGGTCTTTCTGTTGGGCAAAAAACAAGATTGCCAGTGGGACTGGGAGTGAGCTATTCAAGCCTAGCATCAGTTGGACCTTTACTCTCTCAAAGGATGGGCGTTTCAGCGAAGACTGGGCATTCACTTTTCCACAATCTGCTCCGTAACGTCAACTTCTGACCAGCAGAGTGGTATACAACCCGAACGCAGCGGGCACAGGATCAGGCTGGCCTCCCACGTCAAGATGGTAGCCATGACAACAATGATAAACACCAAAATACAGATGGGCAGTCACGAGCGTCAACGGGGCAAAAGTTGTGTATAGGCGACCTGGGCAACATGTTAAGCGACATGAGAAATGTGTTTCGTGCTGTATGTCGTGCAATCAATCAGCTCAGCTCAACGGATAGCTTTTTTTTGGCTCGGAGACAACAACCTTTGGACCTTGAAAAGTCAGCCCGCAAATTTGGAAGGCACAACGAGGCTTCTGCAAACTAGTATCGAATATGGACAAGGCAGAAGCCGGTTTTGGAGACTTTCATTTCGTGTGAAAGTGTATGATGAAGAGAGATATGCTGGTTGATCTCGCCGCAAGACAATGAACGATTCGCATCGTTCTCAAGCCGTCTGACAACGTCGACAAGGCAACAATCCTAAGGTATGAAGACCAAGATGGTGTGGCCTTTTGTGTGGTCGCAGTCTCCTTTCGTTGTATAGAGCTTGTTGACACTTGTTTACGCAACATGGTCATGTTGGTAGGAAGACTTATTGGAACGCACCTAGTCCGGGGTCCATTGTCTGCATGAT